TTTTTCTTTCCTGAGAGTGAGGGGTTGGCCAGAACCCAACACCTGTCTTGTGTAGAAATGGCCCTGCATTAATGAGTGTTCTAAGTTTACTGCAGGCCCTTGACTGTAGGGAGCATCGGGGTTTGCAAAAGGCCAAGAAAAGTGGCCTTAGCTCTCGGATGCCTAGAAGGCTTAGTTGGACTTTGTCCACCCTTTGGGCCTGGTTTTGAAGGCCACGTAGCTGCAGCAGGGCCAAGAGTTGGGACTTAATGGCTCATTGCACCCACATCACGTCTAGGCCTGGCCAGGTTGTTGTCTGTGCATGCAATGTCAGAAGGAGTCCACGTCAAATTCATGCCCTTAACGTTCCACCTATAGGTGTCCAATGGAGACCAGGCATTCATTCAGCCAGCATGAGTGAATGCACCCCTGGACCAAGGCAGCAGCCTCCTAACTGGTCTCCCTTCCTCCAATTTGTTCTGCAGATCACACCAGATTAAACTTCCTTGCATTTTACCATGTCATTCTCCAGCCGAGGATAAATTCTAAGTGCCTTGGCCTGCTATTCAAGGGCTTCTGCAATCTGGATCCAACCTGTATTTCCAGTTTTATTCCCTACTACTTCTTGACAGAAAGCCTTGACTTTGTCTATCACCTCCAAAAATACTTTGCATTTCCTCCTTTTCTATGTCTCATGCTGTCCACTTTCTAGAACGCCATACCCTACTCTACCATATCTCCACTTACCTGAGAGGAAGCAGCATGTACAATGAATAAAGTGCCCCCAGTCCTTATCTAATCTCTATGATTACGATTATGAATCCTATTTGGGGAGGTACAGCACAGTAGAAAGAACACCAGCTCTGAAGTCAGATCACCTGGAACCAAGCTTCCTCTCCAGAGCTGACCACCAAATGATGCTGAACAAGTTACTTCACCTCTAGGAGGCTGGACAGTGAAAGGGTTGGCCTGGATGGCCTTGGAGCTCCCTCCAACTCAAGATCTGTGTTTTTAGGATCCTTTAAGATCCAACTCAAGCCTTATCTCCTTGGTGAAATTTTTTGCCATTCCAGTCCACATTGATCCCTCCTTCCTATGAATCCCTAATGTACCTATCATCTGTACCTGACAGCTTAATACTCTGTCTTATTCTTTCATATCAAAATGTTCAAAGAATGTAAAAGTTATGCTTTGCCTTAGAGATCATATCATCCAATAGTCCCATTTTTACAGATAAGCAAACTGAGTCTTAGAGATGTAAAGGGGCTTATAAACTCAAGGTCATAGAGTTAATAAATGACAGAACCAGCATTTGAACCCAGATCTTCTGATTCCAAGTCCAGTGCTCTTTTATACCAGGAAAAAAAGGACCATTAATAATAAATAAATGGTAATAAACAATAAATTATAATAATAGCTACAATTCATATATGCTTTAATATTTATAAAGTACTTTAGAAATATTATCACATTTAATCTTCACAATAATCCTGGGAGGTAGGTGCTATTATTATTCCCATTTTACAAACGGGGGAGACTGAGACAGACAATGGTTAATGACTTACCCAGAGTCACACAATTTGTAAATGTCTGAGACTGGCTTCCAACTTACATTTTCCTGATTTCAGGTCTAATATTCTATCTACTGCACCGGCTAGCTACCAAATAGAAGTTGTTGTTATCATTGGTGTTCTCTAACATCCTTTGTGTAATCCAGCTCTCCAACTATACTGGAAGCTCTTGAGAGAAGGAACTCTTGTCTTCTCCTCCATCCCCCAGGACACAAAGGAGGCACTCAACACCGACTTGTTGATGAAAGCAGATAATAGGACCCATGCTTTAGGCAGTATTCAACAAAGTCAATTCATCAATGTAGTGGCACAAGCCACTACAATCAGCACCAAGGAGATAAAGATGAAATATGGCATGGTAGGTATAGTTCCTCCAAGCTTATAGCCTAATAGAAAGGATAAGCCATCTACATAAATAAGTATGATAAAAGGTTGGATGTGCTAAGGATAAAAGAAAGGTCCAGATAAGGTGATATAAGAAATTTGAGGCAGAACAGATCTCTTTTAACTGGAAAGGTAAGGAGAGTCTTCATTTATATGGGAAGTGAAACCTGAGCTTGGCCTTAAAGGATTTCAGTAGGCAAAAATGTGAAAGGAGTGCAGTCCAGTTATGGGGTGGGGTTGGGGGGCAGCCCAAGCAAATGAATAGAGGCAGGAGAATGTGGGTGGAGCAATATCTATGAACAGCTAGCCATCTGCTTTCAATAGAATGTAGAATATGTGAAGAGGAGTAGGGTGAAATTAGGCAGGAAAGGTAGTTTAGAATCATACAGTGGAAGTCTTGAATGCCAGGCTAAGGCTACTATAGTTTTTGTCCTATAGACAAAGGGGAAGAACTGAAGATTTTTGAGTAAAAGAGTAAAATGACCAGATCTTTGCATTAGGAAGATTAATTTAGCAGCTGTGAAGGATGGTTTGGAGAAAAGAGAGCCTCTAGGAAAGAAAACCAGTTAGCTAGCTAATACAATAGTCTAGACAAGAGCTAAACTAGGGTGGTAACCACGTGAGCATAGAGGATGACAAAAATATTGTGAAGGTTGAATCAATAGACCCAGGGAACTGATTAGATGTGGGAGGTAAGGATGAGAGGATAGACAAGGTGACTCTGAGGTTTCAAACCTGGCTTATTTGGAGGATTTCATCATAAGAAATACAGAATTTGGGGAGAGAAGCAAGTTTTGAGATGGAAGATGATGTATTCAGTTTTGCACAAGTTGGTTTTAAACTACCAACACAGCATCCAGATGGAGATGTCCAATTAGCAGTCTGAAAAATGATCCCAAGAGTTAAGGATTGACCAGAACCCAACCACCATCTTGTGTAGTAGAAATGGCGTTGCATTAGGCCCTTGCCTACAGAGTCCATTGCTTCTATAGCTACCAATCTACTGCAACTGCTTTCTCCAAGGTATTCAATTACCTCTTAGTTTAAAAATCCATTTACCTTTTCTCATTCAGGCAGTCAGCAAACATCTATTAAGTGCTTACTATGTGCCAGGCACTATGCTAAGCACTAGGGATAAAAATACAAGCAAAAAGAAAAATCGTTCCTGACCTTAAGGAGCTTGCTTTCTTTCTTTTTTATTCAAATTTATTTTATTTTCAGTTCTGAATTCTCTCCCTCACTCCCTCTTCCCCCACCTATTAAGAAGTTAATAAGCAAATAAATAAATGAAAGTGTTCTGAATATGTATACTCAAGCAAAACAAATAACCTCATTAGCCATATCCAATAAAAAAGAAAAGAAAAAAAGAGAAAAAAGAAAACTAAAGGAGCTTCCATCTGTACTTTGAATCTCTCAGCTCGTGCGCTCGCTCTCTCTCTCTCTCTCTCTCTCTCTCTCTCTCTCTCTCTCTCTCTCTCTCTCTCTCTCTCCCACTCCACCTCCTTCTCAGGAGACAGCATGTTTTACCATGGGTCCTTTGTATCTGTAGTTGGTCATTGTGTTGATCAGAATAAGGAGCTTACCATCTAATGGAGTAAGACAACAGATTAAAGAAAGATGAAAAGAAAGGGCACAGAGCAAGGTACTTATTAGTGGAGGGATAGCTCAGTGTTGATATCTAGAGTCAAAAGCAAAATCCTAAGAGGAAGGCAGGATAGTCAGCCTGGGCCTTTCCACAAAATGGAGTTTCTGGGGGAAGAGGGGCACAGGGGCAGAAGGATGTTCCAGGGTAAGAGGACCATAGAAGCTGATGAAACTTCCAGGTTAAGAAAGCAGTTGAGGTATGATGGCAAAGTCCAGAGAGTCAGAAAAAGAACCAGGCTTCATCCCCTATTTCCAGGCCCAATCTTTTGGTTAAGTCAGGAAAACCTGATTCTATAATGCTGCCTCAGACACCTCTGAGTGACCCTGAGCATTTAACTTCTCTCAGCCTCAGTTTTTTCATCTGTAAAATGGGGATAATAGTACCTACCTCACAGGGTTGTCATGAGGATAGAATGAGATAATATACGTAGTGTTTTGCAAACCTTAAAACACTATAAGAATGCTATGTATTATTATTACTATTATTGTCTATCCAAGTAAGAGCACATTTGAGAAAGAGAAAGGGCAATAAAAAGGGAGAGGGAAGGCTTGATATTATAAGGATCTGGGCTTACAAGTCTGAAGATCTAAGAAAATGTTGTAGCAATGTAGTTGCTCTTCCACCATTAGGATTCTGTGGGGAAACTGTAAAGGAGGCATAGTAGCCTGATAGGAAACTTTGCTTTTATAGGTCAGTTCCTTTCTGATATAGACTTAGCATTTCAGGGCTTTCCTTGGCCTCCCACTGTAACAAGATCAACCATATCCAGGAAATGCTGCATTGGGATCTACAGCCAGTTGGGGATTTGCATCTGGTGCTGGAGACATTTCTGTCCCGTGACTAGGGCAGTGAAGATGGAGTGAGATGTTCTTGCCAGTAGCTGGTAGACATCAAGACCTGGCATTAGGTGTAATGAAGTCACAAGTCATTCACCCCTATGAGTCTTATTTATAAATTAAAAGGTTGGATAGATGGTCCCCAAAGTCCTTTCCAACTTTGACATTCTGAGTCTATGTTATTTTCCTTAAGGAATATAAAAACCAGATGAATCTCCCTCTGTTTGGAACAAGGTCAGTGTGGTGCTGCCTAGAGGTTGGAGGTGGTGGTGGGAAATTAAATGACTTCTGAAGGTGTCTTTCAGCCCAGAAAGTCCAACAGTCAGCATAACAGTCTAAGCAGTTAGCATAATCCTAGGAAGGAAGACATGGCTCATTCTCTGTACCAATGCATCTTCTGACCTTTTCAAACTAGTGAACACACAACAGCAACACACTAACCAAACCAGATGTGTCAAAAAGCACCTTTGGGGAGATGGTTATGGGTCTGACCCTCTTTACTGCTGCATCTGGAGCCAATGGGGGTAACAATCAAGCTTTGGGAACTGGCATGATACGCTGAAGCATGCCCACTCTTCCTTGCAGATTCAACCAACCGTGATTCCTTGGACATGATTGAACGATGTATCTGCTTGGTGTGTTTGGATGCGCCAGGAGGCATAGAACTCAATGACACCAACATGGCCCTTCAGCTCCTTCATGGAGGGGGCCATGGCAAAAATGGGGCAAACCGCTGGTATGACAAGTCCATGCAGGTGAGACTTCAAATGGGCTTGCTGCTAGCCCGTGGAGGCAGCTTGATACACTGGAAAGAGTACTGCAGTCAGGGGACTTGGATTCAGATCCTGCCTCAAATACCTATTGCCTAGGAGATATTTGGCAAAACACATGACCTCCCTCCCCGGATACGTAAAATGAGAGAGCTGGATTAAATGGCCTCACAGGGTCCTTCCAGCCTGAGGCTACGAGCCTGAGTGCTCAATCATATGATCTAATTGAATAACTCATCCTCACCTGTCACCAGCTGGGTTTGGCAAGAGTATAAATAAGTAAGAATTGTTCTCCTGGGTAAGTCTGTGGGACCCTGGGCTCTGGGCATTTTCTGACAGCAGTATCACAGCTCCCATAGTTTGTAAGAGGTCTTGGTTCTCTTTCTTGTCAGACTTAAAGGCTAGAGATGTGCCTCTCAGTTCCCTTAATAATCTATTCTGGATCTACCTGCATAAATTTATCTAAACTTTTGTGAAGCTATCTTAATCAACAAATATTTATTAAGTGCTTATTGTGTGCCAAGCACTATGCTAGGATACAAATACCAAAATAAACCAGTTTCTGCCCTCAAAGAGTGGAATATTCTACCTTATTTACACGGGCCTCTAAGCCTCAGTTTCCTCATTTGTAAAATGAGAATAACAACATCTGTTTTACCTACTACACAGGGTCATTGGGAGGGAAGTATCTCAAAAACTTAAATGCAAAAATTCAAAAGATTTGTTATTTCATCAGTAGGAACTCTATTCACCAACACAGGCTACAACCTCTCTGTGATTCATTAGGTAAGCTATTAGGGAGCTGCTTGCGGCATATAGAGTTTCGATAACTTGCCCAGTCATATAACTAGGACATGTCAAAGGTGGGATATAAACATGGGTCTTCCTGACTCCAAGCCTAGGCCTGTCCACTATTCCCTAGCACCTCTATGTAGACCTTAAAGTGCCATACAAAAATGTATTATGGCTATTATTGCATGACAGGGTTTCTCCTCCTTTTTCTTAATTCTCAGCAGTATGTTATCCAAGTCCATGTTTACCCTATTTGCCTATTTTTAAATAATTTTACAGATCATGATTGTTTTTCCTTTTTCAAAACAGAATTCTGAGAGGAGTTTCTTGGTGACTTGAGTCCAGGGAGGATACAGATGTTTTGAGGACCATTAGCAACTTCAATCATGGCCCTTGACTGGGCTTTCAAGCCTGGATGACACAAGGGAGTTCAGATCTCAAACATTTTCTGGTCGGACTTCAGGAGAAAGACTCAAAGATCTTTGGAGAAAGATAGACAATTTTCTTTTTAACCACTGAAGCCTCCTCCTATAGGACTTTTGACATAAGGGCATTCTCAATACTGCAGAATTGAGGTAGCCCCATTAAAGAGATATAATTAATCAATTCATGACAGAGTTGGGAGCAAAAAATCTGTTCTCTCTCACCTCGAGGTATTTCTTCCAACCTTTTTGTGTCTTTGAATTGTGACTAGACCAACAGGGAGATAGAGACTGAAGCTGTAAGCTCATTGGCATAAAGAACTCCCAGATGAAAAAGTTCTCTACACCAACCCATACTTTCTGATACCTTTTTTGTAACCCATACTCTTAGAAAGTTTCCTAGATCACTGAGAGATGAAGCGATTCTCTCAAAAACACACAACCAGGAGGTGTCAGAGATGTGACTTGCATCTAGGTCTTTCTGGTTTCAACGCTTGCTTTCTATCCATGACATTACACTGACTACATCCAATAGCAACTTTTATTCAGCTGCTACACATTCACAAGAGCAATGAAATTTGACTCTCAGAAAATTAGCCTCTTGCAAGTTTGAGTGATTACTATTTTGTCTCTAAGCACTAGCTCCAGTATCTCAACAGAGTAGAACTAATTCAGTATCTGTAGAGTAATGGGTATAATACCATACAGAGAGTAATAGGGAGAATGTCTCCCCTTTTAAAATAAAAATTTATATTCTTTCATTTAAATCATCATAAAACAAGGTCATAGAGCAACAATTCCAAGGGGCAGCTGGGGGTGCAGTGGATAGAGCACAGGCCCTGAAGTCAAGAGGACCTGAGTCCAAATCCTCAGACCAAACACCTGACACTAGCTGTGTGACCCTGGGCAAGTCACTTAACCCCAATTACCTAAAAATTAAAAAAAAAATTAGGGGGGCAGCTAGGTGGCACAGTGGATAGAGCACCGGCCTTGAAGTCAGGAGGACCTGAGTTCAAATCCGGCCTCAGGCCAAACACTTCACACTTACTAGCTGTGTGACCCTGGGCAAGTCACTTAACCCCAATTGCCTAAAAACAAAAACAAAAACAAAAAATTCCAAATAGTTATATGGATTTGAAGAAAAATACCAATGTTAAAAAGGATATACAGCTATATATCTATGTATGCATACATATATATATACATATATACATATATATATGGCTATATTATTTAAAGCTGATGTACAAACCTTCAAAGTCAAAGCCAATTTGCATTTAGAGTTGGAGGTCCCCAAATGGAGTCTTGGCTCTGCTACATACTGTGGGTGAGCATAAGTAACTTCTCTCTGAGCCCCAATTTTCATTGATATATGATAGCTTTGAACTTGGTGTCAGGAAGACCTGGGCTTCAATCCTTTCTCACACACCAGGTGTGACCCTAGGCAAATTGGATAAACTCCTTGAACTTCAATTTCCTCATCTGTAAAACAGGGATAAAAATAGCACCAGCTTCACAGACAGGGTTGCTGGGAGAATCAAATGAGATAATGTATGCAAAGCACTTTGCAAACCTTAAAGCTCTATATAAATGTTAGTTATCATTATTATTGGTTTTGTTATTATACTTGCACTATCTACCTATCATTGGTATGACAAAAATGCTTTGCTAGAAGGGTCATTACAGATCATATAGTCCAACAATTTCACTGGAGGGGGAGGAAAACGGGGTTAAGTGACTTGCCCAGGGTCACACAGCTAGTAAGTGTCTGAGCTCAGATCTGAAGTCAGGTCCACCTGACTCCAGGGCTGGTGCTCTATTCACTGTGCCAACTAGCTGCCCCCAGCTTCATTTTACAGATGAGGAAACTGAGGCTAAACCTTAAAGACTGAAATGAATTTGAATTATTATCATTGCTGTTGGTTGTTGTTGCTGTTTTCTGAGCACATAAACACAAGTGCTGGTGTGAGGAAACTCTTCCCCCGCCCCTTTTGGCAATATGATCTGAGACATATGAAGAATGACTCCTCAGAGGTCAGTGATGACTGCTGGCATCCTAACCCAGCTGACCCAAACAGGGAATCTGACATGCTGCAGAGCCTAAGACAGCAAACATCCTCTGGGCAGCTTGTAACCTATCCTATTTCCCCCTCCAGTTCGTGGTGGGTCGAGATGGAGTCTGCGGCGCAGTATGTGAACATTCCCCATTTGATGGAATCGTCCTGGTACAGTGCACCGAACATCTGCTCAGGCACATGTGAGTTTTCTTTTCTTAATAGGATATTGCACCTTAATGGTTCTGCGCTAATTTCCCAACGCTCAGCCAGGAGGAAAAGAAAAATCAGCTGCTCGTGAAGCCCTGCTATACAATTGCGTCTCTGATCTGCAGAGAAAAAAGGTACCGAGCCAAACTCATAGTGACAAAAAACCAATAATGGCCCTGAAGAACCCATTGTGAAACCTCCCTCCCTGCTTGGGGTAGAAGATGGGGGCTGTCTGGGCAAAATGTTGCACGGGAAGACGTGGTCACTATGTAGTTTGCTGCTGGTGGCTTAATTGCCTTATTGCCTTTCCTTGTTATCAGGGAGGATTCAATTGAGGGACAGAGGGGAAGCCCGTGATATAAAAAAATGACCATAAAGAAAAAAGAGGCACTCGTAAAACTTATTTTTAAAAATATAAGAGCAAGCTCCTGCAGCCCAGCCTGGAACAAAAGGTGTAGGTGTTGTAGAGTAGATAATCTTGAAAGCATTTTAGCCACTTAATCTCTCTGGCTCCCCATCCTGCCCGACCCCCACCCCAAATGACAGTTGTTGATCATTATTAATATATCAGGGCAGAGAATTTCTACCCTTGTTGTTTCCTAGACTGATGAAATCCCCCCAAATACATACATACACACATACATACATACATACATATAATCCATTTAAATGGGATAACAAATATCCCTCTAGTCCTGTGTAGGTGGATGCCTATTACATACTGAATCAATTAAATCAATGGGAAATTATGGTAGGTGTCTAATTCTATGCCTTTTCAGAGAGGGACTGGGGGGTTGTTCATTGGAAAAAAGAAACCAGTCAAGTGAATGTATTTCATAGAATCATAAAATATTCGATCCACCTCCCTCCTTTTGTTGTTAGGTGAAGATATAGTCTGAGAGGTCTCTTCCCTATACCCCGATAAAGGATAATCCTGGACCTCTTCTTATCCTTCTCTTGTCACTCTAAGCCATCCTACCCCCAAAACAAATACGCAAATGACACAGCCTAGCCCAGGGCTGGGCACATAGCAGGTATTTGTTGACTTACTAAATTATCTTCACTTACCCTCTCTAAATTCAGAGTGGCCCTCTCTGGTTCATGCTTTCTTGGTCTAGAAGATTGTCTGAAGTAAGAGCAGCAACTAGGTTGGGGTAGCTGGAGTTTTGTGTCTGGTTACTAATATTTAGATACAGTGGGTGGTATTTGCCATTCTTTAGCAGCAGAGAAACAACTAAGCTTTGCACCTAGTTAGAAGAACAAGTGATTAAAATGAGAATCTACCAGATGGACCAAATCCCAAGTTAAGTTCCTGTGTGGCCTTTGTCCTGCAACCCTCAGCTTATTAAAAAAGATGATTTGAGGTGAATTTTGTACCATTTGCCCAAGTCCCAAAAATTGTTATTTGCAGCTATTCTATTTAAGATCCCCAGCTTTTATCATATTGATCTCAGTATTGGAATAGCCAAAGCCTCCCTTTTCCTTGGACAAATAAGGTCCTATTTTGCTGGGCATGAACAGCACAGGCACCTTCAGACCTAGCACAGCATCTAGCATGTTTTAGGAGCTTAATAAATACTCGTCTTACCGAATTGAAATCAAGTATTTGAAAGGTTTGTGGAGGAAGAAGGATTGGATTTGTTTTCCTTAGCCCCAAAAGGCATAGCTAGGGGTAGTTCAATTCAATTTAACGAATATTAAATGCCTGGCATACACAAAGCACTAGGCTAGACTCTGAAAATGGGTGTAAAATTAGACTTAATATAAGGAGGGAAAAAACTTTCTAACAATTAGACCTATCCAAAAATGGAATGGGCTATCTTGGGAGGTTGGTTCTGCCTTAGTAGAGGTTTTCTAGCAAAAGCTAGAAGGCCCTTGGTTTGGAATGTTGTGCAGTGGAGATCTATTCAGGAACAGGTTAGATTACATGGCCTCTGAGGTCCCTTCCAACTGTGAGAATCAATGATCCTATTCTCTTACGTAGATTTGACACAGGATTCCTAAATTTGACAACTTAATTGTATCCTTCTTGACAAAAGAAGAGTTGTGATGTCCTACAATACCAATTTATACTTAGTATGGAGTTAAATATTGGGGTTGGGGTGGTAGATTTTAAGTTGTTAATGTTGTTTAATATGTATTAAATACAAACAATGTTTTAGGTATTGTACAGGACACATCTAATGTATCAAGTAGCTTGGTGCAATGGAGAGAGACTGTTAGCCTGGATTTGGAGTCACAAGACTTAGATCCTGAACTCTATCCTAGGTGTATGTGACATAAAAGGAGAGGGCTGTACAAGATGATTTTTAAGGTGCTCTCCAGTTCTAAAGATTCTATGATCATGAGATAAATGAAAAAATAAGATGAAAGGTACAAGGGAAATTATAATGAGAAAGTTGTACAAAATAACATTCCTCCTTTAGAGGACAAATTTCACATTTCTGGGGAAAAGGAGCAAACAAAACATCACTGAAACCATTGGAGTGACTTAAATTAAATTATGCTGTTAAAACATAGGAAATTAAGGAGTTCTTTCTTGTTCAAAATAAGTCGATTCTAATGTAATTAACACAGTTGCTTGAGCAACAAACAGTGGGTCTATCTTAATTTCTTTTATTATTTCAAAATTCTGCATTGCCTTAATATTTTCTTAGTAGCAGGAAGCTCAACATGTGTGCCCCTTCACCACTGGCTTAACAGTTAAATGTTTTTGCCAAAAAGTTTTGCTAGAAACAAGTCACTTTGCTGTTCTGAATACTGAAGCTCAATACATCTGACTAACTGTTTGGCTTTGGGCTCTCTGGACCTCAGTTTTTCATCTGTAAAATAGGAAAATTAGGCTTTGAATAATCATAGAGAATGGAAAAGATGCTGCAGGACCAGAGATGGTCAAGTATTGTCCCAATTTTCAAAAAGAAGAAAGTCTACTCTGCCAGTTCTAGCTAGTAAGTTTGACTGTCCTGTCTATGAAAAAAAAATCCTCCAATGGATTATTAAAATATGGTTTATAAGCACTTAGAAAGTGAAATGTCATCTACTATTTTGACAGGATCATTAGACTGGTAGATCGGACAAATGGTATGGACTTCATATAACTGAATTTCTTCAAGGCATTTGACAAAATCACTTTTGACATCTTTGTGGACAAGATGGAGAGAGGTGGACTGGCATAAAGTTCAGTCCGGTAGATTTGGCTGACTGAACAACTGACCCAAAAAAATGCTAATTAATGGATTAATATCAACCTCATAAGAAGTGTCTAATTGAATGCTTTAGGACTTTATTCTAAACAATATCTTTTTCAGTAGCTTAGGATGAAGAAGACAAAGATGGAAAATATCCAATTTTCATTTTACCTTGAGTAAAAAGTGATAGCTACAAAAATTTAGGGCCCCAAAAATCTGAACAGGCTAGAATGCTGAGCAAGAGCTAATATTTAAATTTAATAGGGATGAATTTAATTTCTGCTTTTGAGGTCAACTGGAGTGACATCGCTAGACATAGATTTATGAGAAAATCAATCAATCAGCAAACATTTATTGAGCATCTACCACACTCCAAGCTTCTGGGCATACCAAGATACAAACAAAGCAATCCCTACTCTCAAAGAGTTACACTGTATCAGAGGAGATATCATACATACACATAAGCATATACATTATACATATAAGTAAATACAAGTATATACAGATGTATACATACATATATATATGTATGCAGATATATGTGTGTTTATGTGCATAACATATCCCATCTTTGGGGGTCATGAATTGTCAGGAGCGAGAGTCAGATTGCTGCCAGCTGCTTAATGGGTTTTCCCCAGCATTTCCCCGAGTTCCAGTGGCCTTGGATTTGACCTGAGACAAAGTACCTTTAAGGGGCTTGTGGGGAAAGAAGGCAGAAACCATAGCAGGGAAGTCACTGGGAGCCATTGCAAGCAGCTGCTGGAAGGATCAATGATCTGCAGTGAGGATAATGAAGACATTCCAAGAAAGTCCTGGACTGAATCTGCCTTGCTCATCAAAGCTGAGATAGGAGGATAGACAGAGAACCCTCTCCCCTGCCTTCTTTTCATTTCTGTCTAAACATTAAGATATATCAGTAATAAAACTGTTGACTAGCAACAAATGTAGTCGTTAATCACAGATTTTATATAAATTAGAGAGAAGAGAGGACTTCCTCTTTCAGAGATGAGAAACATTTGTTTCCTGGGCTGAATTGGAGGTTGAGCCAAGTGGAGCAACCGTGGGAAGAGTGGGCAGTGTTGGACTTTTGCAAGCTTTGTAAAAGTACTTGAGATATCCTTTGATTCCTTCCCTTTTAGGAAAAAGAGGCAGCAAACCAAAAGCATTTTGTCATGCGGAAATAAAAAACACTGTTTTTGTGAGAGTGACTTAGAGCTTCTTCTCCATGTTTCAAAATCTCATCTCAGAGGGAAAGGGAAATAGTGAACATGACACACAAACACAGTAGCCTAGCAATGAAGGCATCAACTATGTATAAGAGATTATTTGGGAGGCAGCCTGAGTTGGAAGTTGAGTTCTTTTCCTACATGTTTATTTCCTGCTTTAAGACATTACCTATGATAAAAAAAAACTGTTGGTCAACAACAAAATGACCCGGGGTGTTTATCATATTTTACTTAATGTGCAGATCTATAGATGAGAATAGGTGGGGTAAGGGAGTTAGGTTATCCTTTCAGAGATCAGACATTTGTTCAGCTGAGCTGAATTAGAGGCTGAGCCAAGAGGAGTAAAAAGTGAGGAGGAATGTTCAACTTTCTCAAGCCTTGCAAAATTATCTGAAATACACGCTTGATTTCCTTACTTTGGGGTAAATGATGAAGCAAGCCAGAAACAATATATTATGGGGAAATAAAAACTGGCATTTCAATGAGAATGATTTAAGACTTTCCTGACACGCTGCAAAACCTAACCTCTGAGGAGAGAGGATAGTGAGGATGCTGCACATCTAGCAGTAAAGGCAGTTC